TACTCCCTGTGTTCCCTCATGGTGAGGGGTTAGGATCCTGCTCTGTGGTTGGGTTTGCTACACATGGAGACAACTAGGAGAACTGCAAAGGAGTGGAAAGGTAGCCCAAGGTGCATCTTGCACAGAGGAAGCAGAACCTCCACCCTTATATCTGGCAGCCCCGAGGAGACAGTGAGACAAGAGCCCATCTCTGCCTACCCCACAGGGCTTGTCTATGGTCATCACAGATCATTTAGGTTGGAAAAGGCTTCTGAGATCACTGAGCAGGGTGCACCCTGGCCTGCGCCAGCACTAATAACCTCAGTGGTGTGGCAGGGTTTGCACTGTGGTGATGAAAGAGGAGCTGGGCGTGACTGAGGAAGCGGGTCCAGCTCAGCTGTCAGCAGGATGGGCTCACCAGGGACCTGCTGGTGGACCAAGCAGGGTGTGCAGAGAGAATGGCTTTCCCTGGTAGCTCCTGGTGGCTGTAACAGGCTGCAAAAGCAGAGTGACAGCAAACACTCAGGCCGGAGTGGGAGACGAGCACAATCTTACATGTTGAGAAAAGTCCCAGTTTAGCCTGGGCTTTAAATTTTGAGGAGGCCAATTACTGCCTCCTGTCCATTCATCTGCCTTTCTAGGAATGATGAGTGATGGGCTTAGGTCATCACCCAGGCCCGAGTCAGATATCTCAAGAGCTGGCATTGGACATCTGCAAGCTCTGGCCCCGTAAATCTGGGTCACCCTGGCGTCGAGAGAAACTGCATTCCTGGAGACCAACCTTAGCTGAGGGGACCTGAGCTAAATGAGGAGACGCAGGAAGGGAAAATGGGCATGAAATACCCTTTGCCAATGGGGACAAAAAAGTTAACCTGCTGCTGGTGTCAAAACCAAATTGGGATGTGAAAGAGACGTGAAAAAGTGCCTCCATCCCACTGAATCAACTGCCAGGAGCCATCCTGAGCTCATTCTCTCTCCCAAGACAAACAGGGTCATCTAAATCTGGGGTTCATGCATGAGAAAGCAGTTCACCAAGTGATAGAAGGACCTTGACATGCAGAAGGAAGAGGAGGAGACCTCTGCAGACCTGAGAGAGGGGCTCTTTGCTCCAGCTGGCCTTTGTAGGGACTACAAGGAAGAGATCCAGCTGTGATCCAGCCAAGGGAGCTGCTGCAGCACAGCATGTGGTGTTGGAGCAGGTGAGCTCTGGCCAGCACCGGCTGTAGAGAGGAAAACTGCCTTTGTTTTTGCAACATGCCAGTGGACATGTGCCTGCAGGACATGGGACAGCCATCGGGTCCACCTGTGCTCTGCCCTGCCTGAAGGAAGAAGGGGTTAAAGGGCTGATGCTCCAGTTACCACCTTCTGCTTAAGCCCAGAGATTCAGTGTGGAGAAGGGAGACTTCAAAGCATGGGACTCACTGCGGCTTCACAGGGCACGGACAGGGTCCCCCTGCAAACAGCGGTGAGCAGAGGGACAGAGGTGCCCAGGAGGGGTGTGCACACCCTGCCAGTGCGTGGCCATAGTCGTGCACGTCTCCTGACAGTGTAATGACAAGTGGGACACAAGTTAGAGGATGGCACCCACCCTTGGTGCTCCAGCCCTTTTCCCAGGCCTCCACCCCAGAGCTCAAGGGGAAAGACCCACGTTTTCAGAAGCTGGCACCCACCACCTCTAGGGGTTCTGCTGGTTCTGCCTGTTCTGCCCCCTTCCCCCTGCAGCTCGTCCCTTAATCACAAGCAGCTTTGGGGAGACAATGCAATAACCGCACCAAAGAACCAGGCTTGTTCCCCTTTGTCTTCCTCTCCTTTGAGGCTCGGCAGACAGGCGAGCCATCACGCCCACGGCCCAGCCGTCACACGTCCGACTCATCACCTCCCGGGGCAGCCGCGCGGGAGGCTCCTGGCACGAGGTGACCGCGCATCGGCACGAGGTGACCGCGCATCGGCACGAGGTGACCGTGCTCCGGCGCCGCGGCAGGGCGGCGAGGCAGGGCTGGGCGAGCTGGCACACACCCCGTGGTGGCTGCCCTCTGCTCCCCGGCCCGGCCCGCTCCCAGCACCTCGGCTCTCGTGCTTTGTCCTCCAGACGAGCCGTCATCTCAAGCGGGACCACTGAGTTCTCCCCAGAGGCGGCAGCAGGCCCCCCTCCTCCCTCCAGCACATGGCACGGAGGCTTTTAGGCTGGTTTTCGCTGGAGTTCACACAAATCTCGCCTTCCCCGTTCCCAACCCCCACCTTCCCCGCACAACTGAACTCAGCCATTGAGCCCAGCGAATGTTTTATTTCCCAGGTTAGCACAAAGCAGGGGTCTCTGTGTGCCCCTGGAACCAGCAGAACAAAACGCACAAAGACGTTAGAGGGCCATTTGTAACCAAATCCCAACACACCAGATACTGTTGGGATTATGTCAGAAATATTTTCCCAGAATGCCCTCCCCCCATGCTCCCTCCTACAGATGTTCGGCCCCCACACCACAGATGTTGTTCCTCTTGCAAAATGAGCTTTCCCCTTCCTCTCCCAAATGCCCCTGATGTTTTGCACATTGCCTTTGCCGAGGTCTTCTTTTCACCCTGACCTCTGCATCCCCCCCTTCCCTGGTCCCTCGCCACTGAACGCATGGAAAGGCTGACCTGCGTCCTCATGTGGGGCCGAGCGGGTGGCCACAGGGCTCTGCTGGGACGTGGGCTACTGGATGTCACTTCCCCTCTCACACTTTGTCCCACCATGCCCTTCTCAAAGCTCTCTCCCTCTTTTGACTTCAGTCTCTGGGTGACCTCCAGCTCTGTAGGCCTGCTCCATGGGGCTCTCCGGACCTCAGTCCCCTCAGAGGATGATGGAGGGATGTGAGCCAGACCCCTTGGAGGGCCCTAGTGCCTTCCCATGGGCTCTGTGCTGCTTTCCTCTCCTGTATGCCAAGCTGGAAGGGGACAGGGTCTCCCCACCATTCCACAGCAGGCTTGGCAGAGCGTGGCTCCTCTCTGGCACGAGCCTTCGGCAGCAGTTTGTTCCTCGGGGATGCCGGGCGCGTTTCAGACACCGAAGGGAACGGCCAGACCTTCCCCTCCAGCACCACCAGCCCACGCGGAACACGCTGGGGATCGGCCTGGCAACCTGTCAGGGCCGCGCTCCAAGCCCTGTGACAGACAGACGGACAGACAGACAGACAGACAGATCTCCGTCGGGAGCGGGCTTGCACTGCCAGTGCCCCGCTCACCAGCGCCGGGCTCCTCCCCAGCCGGTGCCGGCAGCCTGCCTGTGCCGAGCCAGCCCGGCTCTGCCTTGCCCTGGTCCCACGAGCTCCGGTGGGAGCGCGGGGGTCCCGCCGGCCCCGGCACACGAGCTGAGGGCACTGTGTGCCATGACAGGGTCAGCGCTTCCTCCTGACCCCGCACACCCCCGGAGGCGCCGCGGGGAGAGGTGCCAGCCCCGGGGCTCCGTCGCGGCAGCAGGGCCGGGCGCAGGGCTCGTCTCCATCCTTCCCTCCTGCGCTAGTGGCGGCAGCCGAGAAAAAACATTTGTTCTGACACACGCGGGGCTGCCAAGCTGTGTCAGGCGCTTTGATGGCCGGGGCAGTAACCTCGACCGCTTCCTCTGCCAGCGGGAGAGCCGAATCCAAGAGCCACAGAGCATGGAATCTCCCAAGGACTTCAGATGACACCTCCAGGCCGGGACATCGCGGCTCTTTTACGTGTTACGAGATATTCCTCTCCCGTCTGTGCTTTTTTTTTTTTTTTTCCTCCCCAACAGGTTACACACGCAAAGAAAACCCAGAGCGGGATCCCGGAGAGGCAGAAACCGGTGGAGCTGTCCCGACCTTCGGGGTGTCTCGCGATTTACGCCAGCGTGGCCCAGCCAAAGCCCTTTACTCATCACCTGCTCCGAGCAAGAATCCGAGTCTCCGCTGGTCTCCCAGGGAGCTGGGGTGTAGCACGGGGTTTTTCTTCAAAGATAGAGTTTATTGCTAAAAATGTTTTGATCAGTGATAGCTCATATTTACATTGATATGTTTTTAAAGGAATATTCAAGTAAACATTTCCAATAGTTTCTGGCATAATCTCTAGCTTTTTTTTCCTATACACAAACGTTAAAAATAAATAAACTGTACACAGAAAATTTCCTTTAACATCTCTACATGACTATATGTATTCCCACACAACAAAACAATTCCACTCTTTCATAGATTTGTACTTTTCTTTAAAATTTCCTCCTTAATTAATTGTTATGCACTTAAAAAAAAAAACCAAAAAAACAAACCAACAAACCCTAGAGAGCTTGGCAAATTAGTTCAAACATCAGTGACAAGGTCTGAAGAAGACAAAAAAAAATACAGCACAGAGAAACGACCGTCTTCAGGGATGCTGCCATTCTTGCTTTTCTTTTTTGTACACCCCCCGCCCCTTTTCTCCTTTAGATAAAATCATCTTTACAGGAAATTTCTGCCCTCCCCTTCAGCAGGGAAGTGCTCGGGTTCTGTGGGGATGGGTTTAAAATGTGGTCCTATGTCTTTAAAATAATAATAATAACAATAATAATTATAATAATAATAAAAAAACAGCTGCGATTCCCCCCCGCCCCCCTTTCCCTTTAAAATCTCTCTATTTACATGGTTGGTAGGGTTTTTTCTTTCCTTTTTTTTTTTTTTAATTTTTTTTTAGTTTTTTTTTTTTTATTTTCCTTTTGTTAGAAGGCTATATACGTATAAAAATAGACATCTGATTGTAGTGCTTTACTGTGCCTTTGGCCTGCCCTGCAGTTCCTGGGTTCGCTTTTTCCCCTTTTGAATAAAATAACATTAAAAGAAGTCCGAGGAAAAAAAATAAAAACAAACAAAAAAACAACAAAAAAATTAACAAAAAAACCCTAACAAAAAAAAAAAATGAACAACCCCCCTAAAATCCAAACAAATAAAAAACAAAACCAAAAACAAACTACCCCAAAAGCGGTTCATCTTCCCCCAGAAAACCCACCCCCCCAAAAAAAAACCCACCCAAAAAACCTCCCCCCCTAAAGTGATCCGGAGGAGGAGGGCGGCAGTGCAAGGGGCCGGGGAGTCTTAGCAGGAGCACTTGCACTCGGAGATGAGCGGGTACTGCACGGGGATCCAGGTGCAGTATTTCTGGCTGGACCAGCCCTGGCAGTGCCAGCGCAGGAAGGTCTTGGTGACCGACTTGACGGGCTTGCAGAACATGCCCTCGGGCAGCGAGCAGGACTTCTCGGCCAGGCAGTTGCCCTCCTTGATGTAGCGCGGCCAGAAGCGCACCCCCAGGTCCTTCCAGGCGTAGAGGACGGGGCAGTGGGTGTGCGCCCACAGCCACTGCAGCACCTTCCGCCGCGCCTTCTTGCCCAGCCGCAGGCGGGGGCCCCGGGGCGGCCCCAGCTCCAGCCGCCGCAGCTCCGCCGGCAGCGCCGCCCGCCCCCGCCCCGCCGCCGCCGCGGCGCCCGAGGCGTTGGCCGGCCCCGGCACGGCCACGGCCATGAAGCCGGGGTCGAAATGGCTGCCCAGCTTCTTCCTCAGCGTCCTCTCGTCCAGGTCCTGCTCCTTGGGGTCGTACTCGGGGTCCGGGTGCTCCACGATGTCCTTGACGGGCAGGTTGTCGCTGGGCGAGGGTCGCAGGCGCAGGAAGGGCTGCCCGCCCGCCGGCAGCCCCAGGCAGAGGCAGAGCAGCAGCGCCCGGATCGCCGTCATGCTCCGGGCGGGCCCCGGCGCTGCTCCCGGCGGGCTCGGCTCCTAGCGCTGCCCGGCGGCGCCCGCCGGCTCCCGGGGGCTCATAAATAGGCAGAGACACCAGTGTCCGGCGGGGCCCGTTACTTTAAATAGCCCGGCCGGGGTTGTGTGACAGCCGCATCTGAGGCTCGCCCCGCGGCCGCTGGCTCCCGGGGCTCCCCGCCGGGCCGGCTCCAGCCGCGGCCGGCAGCGCCGGGGGGTCCGAGCCTCCCCCGCGGGGCAGGGCAGGGCACGGCGGCGGCCGAGCCTTCCTCCTCCTCCGCCGCCGCCGCCGCCGCCGCTCTCGCTCGCTCCCCCCCAAAATTCACAGCGGACTCGTCTCCATCGCCATGGTGACAGCTGGGCCGAGCCCCACGACAGCTCGTCTAGACGGTGTGACAGGGTTTGGCGTGAGACCGGAGCCCGAGAATAAAACCCTCCTTTATAGCCGGGCGCGCCGGGCGAGGGGGCGGGAGGAGGGTCACGGCGCCGGGGCGCTCGGGCGGCCGCTGCGCGGGCACGGCCGGGGCGCGGGGCTCAGGCGGCGGCGGCCGGTGGCGGCAGCGCCCGCGGCCCGGCCGAGCTCGTCCTCATGGCGAGCGGCGGGGGCGGCCCGCGGGCCCCCGGGGCATCCTCGGCGTGGCGGGGCTGGGGGGGCGGAGGGTGTCCCCGGCACCGGCGAGGCGGCGCGTCCCGACTCCCGGCACGGTTCCCTGGTGGCTCCTCGGCGGGGGCGGGCAGGGGCGGGCACGGCCGCCGCTCAGCAGCCCCGGCGACCCATTGCTGCTGCTGCCGCTGCTGCTGCCGCTGCTGCTGCCGGTGCTCCGGGGGCCCGCCTGTCCCCGCCGCGCTCAGCGCATCCAGCCGCGGCTCCGCTCCGTGCCCTGCGCTGCCCACTCGGCTCGGCTCGGCGCGGCGCAGGCCGGCCCGGCGGGGTTCGGCTCGGTGCCGCTCGGCTCGGTGTCGCGGTGTCGCGCTGCCCCTGCCGCCGCCGCCCGCCCGCCGCGTTCTGCCGCGCCGCCGCTGCCGCCCAAGTTAAATACGCGCCCGACGCGGCCGCCCCGCCCCTGCTGTCACTTTCGCCGCGCGCTGAGTGACAGCCGGGTCCTGCCACCACCCCCCCAGAGCCGCCCACCCCCATCCCCGGAGCGGCGTCCCACCTGCGGCCCCGGGCCCCGGGCTCACCGGAGCCGTCACTCCGACAGTGGACAGGGCGCGGGGCAGCGGCCCCGGAGCAGGGGGCACTGCCGACCCTCGGCGTCCCCAGCTTGCACCAGCCCGCGGTCCGGGCACTACACAGGCTCCCGAATAGCCGAACCGCTCTCTCTGCCTTTGCCTTCCACAGCTGCTCTGCTGCCCCACCACGTCTGCTTCTCCACAGGATCCCACCCCCCGTCAAATGTCCTTCCAGCTTTATGCAGAGCTTTAGTTGAGTAGAGTGTCTTTAGAGCCCCTGGGACAGGACCCCCGGGGCAGCACACCAGTGGGACACTCCAGCGTCAACATCTTGGCACTCTCTGCAAGGGCATCTGCAGCCTTCCAGGAGCATCAGTCTCTAAGAGAGGAAGTGTCCCTGCATCCCTTGGTGCAACGTGATAACCACCCACATTAAACCAATGGCTTTTCCTTCACCTCTTTCTCAGCCATGTGGGGATACATCTTTTGGAGGAGAGCTGGACCCACATCCTTTGAGGCACAGAGACTGGCAGCCTGGTGTGTGTCAACACAGTGAAACCCCAAACCCTCCTCACCTCCTTTACCTCCACATTGCTCAGCACTGAGCTCACACTTGAACCATGTCCAGAAATTGGACACACAGCTGGTTCCTCCAGACTGACAGTGTGTAAGAACATTCCTGCCCATGCCAGTCACTCCCTCCCAAAGCCGTGAGATAACCAGTTACCCACTGGGGCCAAGGCAGGCGCAGAGGGACCAAGGTGGATCGTGGGGCCAGTTTCTCACCATGATGTGCTTCTGACCCACCAAGCAAAGTGAGGGACTGCAGTGACAGGCCAGCCCGGAGTGTCCTACTGGCACATGCTGGGGTTGTGCAGAGCTGGCTTCACTCATCAGACTAATGAACAGAGCATCTGCCCCTGATTTCTGTCTCTTCATCATCCCAGAAATGCCAAATGTTGCATTCAGACAGGAAAAGAAAACAAAGCTCTCCAAATTAGAGGTTGGACCTCCAGCCCTGAGTCTGCATAGAGTCAGAGCATCCCCTGGACTCTGGGTAGACAAAACTATGTGTGCCAACTCGGGAGCCAATGCCAGTGCATCCAGGTAATGTACACTGTGCCAGGGTTTAAACTTTCTTCCCTTGCTGTGCATTTCTGCTATTGTGATCCCAGCTTGGTTTGCTGAACTTGGAGCTTTTCTTCACTGATTTGGCTCACACACACTCTGCAATCAGAGCCATGAAACTGTACCATTTCACAGCTCTTCCAGCATTACCTCTCAAAAATTTGCAGGAGAGGTGGGTATTGTTACCCCCTGAGGCTGAATATTACCAGTAAGAAGTTCTTATTATCTGTTTTCTGACCCCAATGCACATCCGACATATGCCTTGAAACGAAGGCAGCCTGGATGTGCAGGATGTGCTCTGCCTTCGCTTGCTGCTGGGTGGGAAAATGCAGCGCTCTCAGAAGTGTCAGAATTAAAGCAAACACAGAAATGAGAAGCAGCTCAGGGTAGAGACACCCAACAGTCAGGAAGGGGGCAATTACTCAGCGAGATGTACTGCTGTTGGCACTGCTGCCTGAGTAAGTCCCGGTGAGGGGATTAACATCTGACTGTAATTGTAATAATAAAATCCGACATGTATACAGCATTTTTCATTCTGAAGGATCCCAAAGCACTCCAGTAACTTAACTCCTTCAACTGTCTCCTGGACTTTATAAACACCCTTCTTAATCATCCCATGCCAGGCGAGGATGCCTTTGCTCTGGGCGTGCTCACCTCGCTTGGACAGGTCCCCTGTGGGAGAGGAGAGGAGGAGAGGCTCTCCAGGGTGGGCTGGAGAAGATTTCCCCTTCTGGAGGCAAGATTCCTGGAAAATGGTGCTTGGCACATCTCAAGGGCAGTGAGGGGGAAGGAACTGAGGTCTGCAGGGGGCTTTCCCCATCCCAATCCCCATGCCAATCCAGATCCCCATCCCCTCCTCTCCCATTCCCATCCCCTCTTCTCCCATTCCCATCCCCTCTTCTCCCATTCCCATTCCCATTCCCATTCCCATTCCCATTCCCATTCCCATTCTCCTCCCCTCCCCTCCCCTCCCATCCCCTCCTTTCTTCTCCTCTCCTCTTGACTCTTTCTCTTCATTTCTTTTCAATTCTCTCCTCCCCGTTTCATGTTCCCAAGTGTGTCCTTCCTGTGCTCCTGGATTGGGCAGGAGACTTTTCCATGGTTTAAGGAGTGAATATGAAGCTTCTGTGCCTACAGCTGGAGGAATAGAACTGACTTTGTAACACAGGTAGTTCTGCTCTGTGAACAGAACTCTCAGGCAAATGTCCTTTGCCTCTTTGGGTTTTTTTTCCCCATTGCTTTCTGTGTACTTGTTTAAGTTTTCCAGGCTCTCTTTATGCTTGAGGAATAATGCTGATGGGCTGGCATGGGAAATATGAGGAAAGGCAAGACAAGACAAGACAAAAGCCCTAATTTTCACTTAAAGAACCAAAAAAACCCCGATGGTGCACCAGGTTTTCATTAGAGATATGTTTATTTTCCAGGAGAAATGCATTACCCTGCTCTCCTCAGTGTGTCCAGAGGAGCAGTTCCCAAAGTATGCCATGGCAAGTGGTTGGCAGAGCTCCCACAGCAGCTCCCAGGCCAGCTCCTGCCATCTGCTGTGAGCGGGGGAGACTCAAGAGGCTGAGAGCAGCTGGCTGGTCCCAAATCCTGGTGAAGGTGAGGGGACAGCAAAGGTCACAGGGCTGCTCGTGCTGGCAGTGATGACATGGAGGTGCTGGAGTGTTTCCAAAGATGAGAAATGGAGCTGGTGAGGGGTCTAGAGCAGGAATCTTGTGAGGAGTGGCTGGGAAAGCTGGGCTTTTTTAGGCTGGAGAAAAGGTGGCTGAAGAGAGACCTTATCATTCCACACATCTGCCTGAAAGGAGGTTGTGGTGAGGTGGGTGTCAGTCTCTTTGTCCAAGTGACAAGTGATAGGGAGAGAAAAAAAGGCCTCAAGTTGCGCCAGGGGAGGTTTAGATTGGATATTAGGAAGATATTCTTTACTGAAAAGGTTTTCAAACATTGGAACAGACTGCCTGGGGAAGTGATTGAGTCATCATCCCTGGAGATATTTAAAAGACATGTAGATGTGGTGCTCAGGGACATGGTTTAGTGGGGGCCTTGGCACTGTTAGGTTAATGGTTGGACTCCATGGTCTTAGGGGTTTTTTCCAACCTAAATGATTCTGTGACTCAGCACACACCTCTGTGCAGTGTGTCTTCAGCTGGTCAAATTCTCCTGGGGCAAAAATGTCCCCATAAGGGTTAAATGAACTCAGCATGGGTGCACAGACACACACAGTGTTCCTCCTTTTCATCACAGAGCTACTGAGGCTCAGTTTCTGTGAGTGGTTCGATAGTCCCAGTCTTAATGAAGTTACCAACCTACATGTTTCTCTTTCCATCCCATCAGGATAGGATGAGGACTGGGATGGAAAGACACATGGGATGGCAAGAAAGGGGGCTCCAACCACCTTCTGTTAAAATCTATGTAGGTCTTGCACCTGCTCTGTTCAATCCCTTTTCCTCCTCTGCAGTCTTGGGCCACCAGCCCCAACAGACCCCCCTTAGCTGCCCAGTGCTGCCCTTCCCCAGGGGGACCAGGAAGGAGCATCTGGCAAAGGTGTCCTCTGAGAAGCTGAGCTAAGAGTGTCCCAGTTGCACCCCACTGGGAGATCAGCACCACCCCAGCACTTGCCCTGCACTGAGTTCAGATGTTCAAAAGAGCTGATGGGAAAAAAACTCCCACCCTGAAGTTCCAAGGAAGGGATTACTTGTGCCTCAGAAATACATTTTCTCTGTATCAAGTAGGGTGGTTTTGCTATTCTGAGCTTCCTGGCATCTTTTTTTGTCTTCATCGTGACGTATTTCTCTGTTTTTCAAGCTCCTTGTGACTTTCTCCCTCTTGGCAGCATGGTGTTGTGCCCCATCCCTCGCTGCCTCACCCCTTTCCAGGGCAGTGCTAGGGTCACCACCCCTGGAAGTGTTCATAAAACATGTGGATGTGGCACTTGGGGACATGGGTTAGTGGCAACCTTGGCAGTGCTGGGTTAATGGTCAATGATCTTAGGGGGGTGTTTCAACCTGAAGGAATCTATCATTCCACAATTTGTGGTCCAAACTTATTTCCTGCCAGACACCAGGCCTGGTATCAACCTGTTTTCTGTACAGCTGTACCTTACATTCCCCTTCAACTGCCTCG